ATATGTATATTTTAAATTGGTAAGATTTTAGAAATCTTGGAGAATAAAGAAAGGCTTGCTAAATAAAATTCAACTACTGAATTCTAAAAGTCAATGAAATGATTCCTAATGATATTCTAGTGTACTCATAGATCAGAGCCTAGTCCAATTGTCATCAGAGAGAGGTGTAACCCAGCAACTGATGGGAGCAGATGCAGAGACCCAGAGCCAAGCACTAGGCAGAGCCAGGGGAACCCTGCAAAAGAAGGGCAGAGGAGGATTGTAGGAGCCAGAGGATTTGGGAACACTAGGAAAACAGAGCCCACAGAATCAACTAAAAAGGGCTCAGAGGGCCTCACAGAGACTGAAGCAGCAATCACAGAGCCTGTATGGATCTGAGCAAGGTCCTCTGCATATATGTTATGATTGTGTAGCTGGGTGTTCTTGTGGGACTCCTAACAGTGGGAATGAGGGCTATCCCTGGCTCTTATTGTGCTTGGGACCCTTTTCCTCCTACTGGGTTGCCTCATCCAGACTTGATATGAGGGTTTGTACCTAGTCTTATTATAACTTGTTATGACATGTTCAGTTGATATTGCTGGGAGGCCTGTTCTTTTTTGTTGTTGTTAAGGGAAATGGGAGAGGATTGAAAGGGGGCGGGGACACTGAGACAAATGGAGGGAGGGGAAACTGTAGTTGGGATATATTTATGAGAGAAGAATAAAGGAGAAAATTCAGGACAGTCTTTGTTCTGCCTCAGATAACCAAGATTATCACAGGTCTTCCCTTCATTGCACTTAGTGAGAGAGCATCTTTGTTTTCAATACCAGCTTCATCTCATGGGTGGATCACTGTTTCTTTACCTCAGCTTCTTTTTCCATCTAGTATCACATCCGCATGTTAGTATCACCTGAGAGCTGTGGGATTACATGTTTGCCAGGATACAGAAAGCATCCAAATGAACACTAATATATAGCTCTCATTCAATTCCAGAGATCCCAACAGAAGATCTTTTTGCTATTTCTGACATTCTAATAAGGGAACTGAGGGCCCAACATTCACATTTAATCTCTAAAACCACATCCTTGGTAGAATTATAAAAGATGAATCAATAGAAAGGACTGCATAGTGCACACCCCGCAGGCATGTTCACAGTGTGGCTCATACACCTTGGACTTGCCCCGAAAGTGTTTTAGAGCCAGAGAGAAGCTTCTAGAACTGTAATTAATGATCCAATCTTTTGGTGATGCTAAAGCAAATGAGATACTGACTCCAAGATCCCTTTACTTTTTAAACTTTATTTTATGTGTGTGAGTTTTTTCCCTGCATGCACATCTATACACATATGTGCAGTGCCTGTAGAGGTCAGAAGAGGGCTTCAGATCTAGAACTGGAGTTACAGAGTGACTGTGGGAATTAAAGCTGGGTCCTCTGGGAGAACAGCCGGGGCTCTTGACTGCTAAGCCATCCCTCTGGCTCCCCTTCCACTTTCTGAGAAAATAAAACTCAATGCTTGTGGACACCTGAAACTCTTCCTTTCTGTCTTTTCTAAAATCCAGAGTGGAAATTCTTCACTTGGGTTGTCAAGATTTATTATGCAGAACAATTCATGAATATTGCAGAGTTTAGCTCTTCCATCAAATTTTATCTTAACTATCTCACAGTTTCAGCAATGTCGAATCCACAATCCATGCTTCACCCAGTGAACTGGAAACACACACACAGTCTTTTATCAGACTGAGAAGTGACACATGTATTCTTCTGTTACTGTCTTTTGTCCCTCTTCACTCCCTTAAGACCCCTTGTCTCCTCTCTTGGTCTCCTCTAGTTTCACAACTTACATGCATGTATACACACATAGACATGCATACACACAAACATTTAGGTTCATATATAAAAAATAAAATCTAGGTACTGCACAGAAGAGAAAACATACAGTTTTCATATTCGAACTCTAAGTCCCACCCAGAAGATGGAACTGCCCATGTCCATCATACCTATTAACAAATGAATGGATAAATAAAATGTGTAACATATGCACAATGGAATTTTATTTGGCCATGTAGAAAACTGAAGTCATAACTTGCATAGGAAAAATGGATGGAGCTGGCAATTATTATACAAAGTGAAGGGGCTTAATTTGAAAGAAAGAGGATTTTGCCTCCTACTGTCAGAAATTATAAATCAAAACCACAGCTGATAATCTTCAAAGAACACTTCCATATTACAGCACACTGGCAGTACTGAGTTAGAGATGGTCTGTGGCTAAGGGACTGGATACTCACAAACACAGCACCCCAGAATGGATAGCCTGTGTAGAAGGTGAAGAAGAAGACATGCCTGAACTGGTGAGACAAATACTGTAAAGAACCCAAAAATACACCCAGGGCCAGAATCACTATTCCATTCAGGATCTGGGTGGCCTGTAAGAAGAAGAAAAAAATATAAAAGGCAAAATATTATTTTTATTTTCCTCAGAAAGGAGGAGGTACCATGGCTTTAAATGGTTAAAATGCTAAGCCTAAATTAACCAAGCAAGATCTTGTTCTAAGAAGGCTTTATTCACAAACATAATATGACAAAGGTAAACAGCTATTAAATTTTATTTTAAATGTTTTTATTTAAAATATAGAATTTGGTTATCATTGGTGACATAGGCTTGCAATCCCAGCCCCTTAGGAGAATGAGGCAGAAGCATCTACCTGAGTTACAGAATGAGTTCAAGTCCAATCTGTGTGATTTAGTAAGACTCTGCCTAAAAATGCACAAAGGGGTGGAGCTATAGCTCAATAATAGAGGGTTTTCCTGCCATGCATGAGGACCTGGGTCTCATCCACAGCACCATAGGGAAGGGGAAGGGAGGGAAGGGGAGGGAAAGGGAGGAAAGAGAGAGAGAAACTTCACAGATCTTGAGTGGTCAGAACACACCAAGAAACGATTAAGAGCCTTGGAATAGACTCTCCAGAGTTTGCTAGGACATTCTACCCTATGAGACACTGATTCTCCATTTTTATTCCTCAGGTCTCTATGGCCCCAACTTGTCTTCAATGACTTAGTGAGAAATAACTCAGAAATTTTGGAGGCAGTCCATGTAATATTTGTTCCTTCTTGTATAAACCAACTTTGGGACAAAGGCAGACTTACCCCGAGGGCTTGCAGTACTCCTCTTTGAACATCACTTGGTCCGTCCAAGAGCTGATAAACAGAACCATCAGTATCCTCTCGTTCATGACTACCTGGTGAGGTTCCACCTTCTGAGGTCCCCAGTCCTGTATTATCAAATCCCTGGGAGGCCATTTGGGGTTGCTTGTGGCTGTCATGGGAAAGAACCCAAAAGCTTCATGCTTCCTTCTATTACTTTGTAATAATAGTTTTTAGTGTAATGGAGAGTTTTGTTTTGTTCATTCATCAAGATTCCTATCCTGGATGACAGGATTCATACCCTATACTGTCCCTTTCTAGAACTGCTCCCTTCACAAAGCAAACCCTCCCTTCCTTCGACAAATACGCCCAAAGATAACCTCTCTTTTACCAAACCAAATTCCAGCCCCTGGGTCAAACTTTTTGTAATAGCCAGAACCTGGAAGCAACCTAGATGCCCCTCAACTGAAGAATTGATAGAGAAAATGTGGTATATTTACACAATAGAGTATTACCCAGTGGGAAAAAACAATGGAATCTTGAAATTCACAGGATTCAACTAGAAGAAACCATCCTGAGTGAGGTAACTCAGTCACAAAAAGACAAACATATATCTTTTGTATGTACTCAGTCACATATGGATTTTAGACATAGAGAAAAGAAGTAGCAGCTGACAATCCATACCACCAGAGAAGCTAGGAAACAAGGAGGACCCTAAGAGAGACATACACGGTTCCCTAGAGAAGGGGAAAGGGACAAGATCTCCTGAGCTAATTGGGTGCATGGGGGAGGGGAGAGGGAGCTGGGAGAAAGAGAAGGGGAAAAGAGGAGGGGTGAGGAGGACATGAGGAAACAGAAAGGTTGAAGCAGAAGAATAGAGGAGATCACAATAAAAGATATCATAATAGAGGGAGCCATTATAGGTTTAAAGAGAATTCTGGCACTAGTGAAATGTCCAGAGATCTACAAGGATGACACCAACTAACAATCTAAGCAATAGTGGAGAGGCCACCTTAAATTCCCTCCCCTGATAATGAGATTGATGACTACCTCATATGCCATCCTTGAGCCTCCATCCAGTAGCTGATGGAAGCAGAAGCAGACACCCACAGCTAAACACTGAAATGAACTCCTGGAATCCAGTTGCAGAGAGGGAAGAGTGATGAGCAAAGGGTTCAAAACCAGGCTGGTAAAACCCACAGAAACAACTGACCTGAACAAGGGGGAGCTCATGGACCCTAGACTGATAGCTGGGAAACCAGCATAGGACTGATTCAGACCCCCTAAATATGGGTGTCAGTGAGGTGGCCTCAGCAATCTATGGGGCCTCTGAAGTAGATCAATATTTATCCCTAGCATATATATGAATGGATTTTGGGAGCCCACTCCACATAGAGGGATACTCTCTCAGCCTAGACACATGGAGGAGGGTCTAGGCCCAGCTCCAAATGGATTGACAGACTTTAAAGATTTCCCCCATGGAAGGCCTCACCCTCCTTGGGGAGCAGAAGGGGGATGGGATAGAGGGTTAGTGGGGGCACACGGGAGGAAGGGAGGGAGAGGGAACTGGGATTGACATGTAAAACAAGCTTATTTCTAATTTAAATTTAAAAAATAGAAAAGGAAGAAACTCCTTTCAGTCCTGGTCCAGTCTGCATGATGAACCCTCTCTGCTTGCCCCTGGGATCCCCCCAGCACTTCCTTAGCATCCCTCAGTCTGAGTTTAATTTTCAAGCACTTGGTTATGTCTGTGTGCTCATCATCTTTGCTCTACTGTCCCAATGCCTCACAGTTGGTAGTCAGTTAATTCATACTTCAGAAATAGCCATGTCTATGGATAATAATTCAAACTCCATCAGCAGGCACTGAGTTTTTTCATGCTGAAAACACCATAGAAATATTTGGAGAGTAGAAAAAATCAAATGTGAGCTTCCACCTTCAGATAAAGCAAAACGTGTTCTATGAAATATGGTCAATTAGGCTTTTAAAATATCAAGAAAATGCAGGCTTCCTAGCATCAAATTAAGTAGCTCACCTTCCCAGCTCTGAGTAGCAGAAGTTCTTCTGGGTGTTTTATTTATATCAGTTCTCAGAACACCCACTGGAACAGGTATTATCACTATAACCCTCTCCATCTTATAGATTAGATGAGGAATCTAAGGAGCAGAGCATGAAATAACATCCCCAAGTCCATCAGGCGGGGATCAAAGATGCTAAGGGTCAAAATCTGCCTCTAGTTATCACTACACTCTACCTCTGAGCTTGTGCAGGAACTGTCCCACCAAACCTAATTCATGTTTCAGGAATCCCCATAACCAGAACTGGCCACCAGAGGCAGCCTCTTAATATATCAAAATATCTCTCTTTCTCTCTCTCTCTCTCTCTCTCTCTCTCTCCCTCCTTCTCC